TTTTTTACATGTCAATACGTTTTTATTACTTTTTATTGATGTTAGATGGGTAGTTGGCCTTAGAAACTTTCCATTATTCCTCTCTTACGCTTTTGTTTTTTTTAATCGTTAGCAGTTAAGGAATTCGTGATTGGATATCGTTTTATGAGAAAGACTACAAATTGGTTGGTGTTCTTGTTGGTAGGTATTACGATGCTAGTGGGAATCCAACACAAGAGCTGCGGGATGTGAGTTTCTTATAGTACATTTGGATACAAGGTTGACCTTTCAAAGGTTATCTTCATCTATTTTTTTTGTTTATTTGCAAAGCATCCGTTGGCAACTATACCAAATAGTCATGTAAAAAAAGTTACGTTCTTACCGTTGGTATTAGAAGCGAGAGTGCGGGGGCCGTTCAAATATTCTCGGTATCGGGAGTAATTTAGCAGTGACGAAGGAATTTAAATCATTTCTGTAGGTAACGGCACTCTCCAAGGGTATAAGTACAAACATTTCATTTAGTTAGCACCAGTGGTCTTCTAGTTATTTTTGATGGAAGAAGATCAGAATGACTGATACGACAATGTTGGGACAATTATGAATAAAAAATTGAGAAAAACGAAAAGAAAATCGGGAAAATGGAAAAAAAATTGGGGAAAATGATCAGTGATTACTTCTTGTTCCTCAGCCTAGAAAAAGGTTTTTGCGGATAACGTTTTTCTGACGACGAGTGGCTGAGGGTGGGTAAAAATAATTTTTTTGGGCTCTTGAAAAGTTAATTTCCCAAGCAAACAATCGTATTGAGGTTATGGGGACTGCACTAAAAAATAAATTTTATTCAGGATTTTCTATCTTTCCCTTCATACCTATACCGAGAATACATTGAATACCCCTCGTGAAGGGGTATTCAATGTAACATACATACTTAAGTTCATTGTAACAAGAGAAAAACATGATGTGTCTGAATGCAACAAACAATTAGAGCAGGAGAAAAACCTATTTAGGAGGCTTGAAGGCAAGACAGATGTTCTACCTTAATTTATTTTACTCGATTTGAAACTTATTCGTTGTTCCCATTTCAGGTATTAGCTCGTATGAAAACGGCAGCCGAATGGAAAGCTTCCAGAGCAGCCGAGGCCGAGGTGAAGACAGTCCCCATTTTTATTAACCCTCCAATAGTCGTGTAGTTTTAACCCACTGTTTTATAGGTTTTCCCGCCATGTAACAGCGAGTGGCACCAAAATAGTGGTGGTCGGGTATGGTGTTCAATGAAGAGTGGCGGTATACAGCGAGATTGGGCAGGGGTGCCAAGGTAACTTTTTTCCTGTTGATGAGTTCACGTTTTTACAACTCTGTTTTCTAGAATGAGTTGGAGAAACGGGTTTTCTTTTTTGACAAAAAATGCAAGCATCCGTAGCTTTTTCCGTGTTCCTGGTTTTAGTCTGCATCGTATATAATACATGGACCACTTTTTGGGTCGTTCAACGCTCATATACAATACTAAGTAAGCTATGGATCGTTTTGCGTCCGAATAGGGCGCAGCATTCGATCAACTTCTAATGTCATACTTTCCTCAATCCGGGTAGGAATGATTGCATCGATTGGATGAAGGAACTTTCTTGCACAAACATGATGTCTATATGAAATGCCATAAGTTCTCCCACGCAATCACTTGTGTGCACAATCGCTTGTGTGAGATACCTGTGTTCTAGTAACACAGAGGGAAGTATACACAAGAAGTTGATCGTGTGCGCCCGAAAAAAGCCACAAATGCTGTATCCTATGGTGAAAATCAGAGGCGTAGGATGCCCCGAAAAATGACCTCAGAAGAGCAAAAGACGTTCCTACAATTTAACTCCATGGACTCGGACGTTTCGCATGCTCTAAATTTATGCTCTTATGGCGTATCCTGGAAGACAGAGGCTGCTCAGAGGAATCCTCAAACAAATTGTGACGTCCACCGCAAAGCCCAGAGCCAGAGCAGCGGCGGTAGTTTTTTCTGATGACCTGATATACCTCGTCATCGAGCACCTTCCCGTTATGTCAACTCCGTGATCTGAATGCACCGTATAAATACAGTGAAACGAACATGGCAGCATCCTTCATCAACATAACATTCTAACAACCTGACTTTATTGAGAATTTCTAAGCTCTACATTGCAGAAATGTAGGATTCCTCATAAACCTCATTCTGGTGGCTTCGTTGTGCGTGAGCCGCGACTTCTTCGACCTCAAAAAAACCGTCTTGCGGTCGCGAAAGCCTCAAGGGTCTAATCAAAGTAAAGTGACAACACAAGATAAAAAAGACAATGATCCATGAAGCGGTAGTATCTTTTTGAATTCTTGGGAGCTCAGCTTATGCTGCCACTGTGGATATATGCAGGTTTTCAATGGTAACATGCTCGAATTCCGGAAAAAGTTGAGCGGATACAAAGACGCAATTTTGAAGAAGCTTACTCTGAGCCCAGAGCAAAGAAAGGAGCTTGTGGAAAGGCTGAAGGTTAGAAACTTTTGTACTTTTTCATTTTTCATGTGTCAGTTAATCATGAAAATCCTAGATGTTCAAAAGGAAAACTACCGATCAAGTCTCACCAGCAGGGGACTCCATTGAAGAGATCAACCTGAGAAGTCAAATTGCACTCTTCCAGGGAGACATGGTTCTTTCGAAGTTTGTACCTACACTTTTTTGGTTTCTTGAGTGCGACAACATGAAGCGTTTTAAGGGAACAACAAGATCAAATTGCTGCAGATGTTAGTGGAACTCGTACCAAACGGCAGACTTACACAAATAAAAAATACCCTGGTAGAAGTGGACGGAAGGAGTTAACTACTTCTTTGGATAAGAGTGCAAGTCGCGCTTCTGTCTTATTCGTTTTCTCGGTTTGCATAGAAGCAAAAATATGAACAATTTGCTCATTATCTGCAGGTGAAAAGGTTAAGAGTGTATTCAAGAAAGCGGCACATGAATGATGTCCAACACCTGCATCAACTTTACACAAAGCAATTCCGGTGAAGTTGGAATAGTTGTCGATGATGGTGAAATACCACAGGACACTGGAATTTCAGAGGACAGCATTCGTGTTTTCATGGAAGATGGATGCTGGTCTTTCGTTGGCAGGCTTGGAGGCGTACAAAACCTCTCACTTGGTATGGCTGTGAATCGAATAGATTTATTGAGAGTTGTCATTTTATGCTTGTGGTAACCACAAGAGTATGAGTTCATCAAAAAAGGGCGGCATTCTCTTTTGAAGCCCTTTCAATAAAATGGCTTTTCCATGCTTCAGATCGGAACCGCTGCGCACGAACTTGGTCATGCTCTTGGATTCTTCTATACACACTCGAGACATGACCGTGATCGATACATTACAGTTGACAAAGAAAACATCAAGGTTGTTTTGCGTTTGCTAGAAAAGCATAATATCGCTCACGATTTCTGACTGGT